GCCCCTACATACAATGTGCAAAAAAGATATGTGAATAAGCCTTGTGGATACAATTAAATATTACATTACGCCTATTGTTTGTCAAAATTTTGCACACTCCTAAAACAAAGCCCAAACACTCAAAGAGACAAGAATGATCAAGATTTAACTGGAAACTAATACTGCAGATTTAATTTTTTAGGCTTTCATTATTTCAAATAATAAAAGTACAAAGATAATTTTCACTTTTTTTTCCTTCTCTCTAGCCTTGATATTGCTTACATCGTGTTCTCTCTAAAACATTTGCTTGAGTTGATTTTATAGGCCAATGAATAAGCTAGTATGACCCAGAAGCCCATTATTTCATTCTTTTTTGTTTTCCGCAAATTTATTATATCAGGTCATCCCATTTACAACAAAAAATTGATAAATAAGAAAAAACAAATTTTGTTGTATGAATTTTTTTTAGAGAGCTTTAATAAAAAAAGGCTTGGACTAAGTTTAGTTTAATAAAAAAACCATCCTATAATATTATTTAATATAAAAAAGCTTCATATTTAATCATAAAAACAAAACTAATTAATATCAAGCCCACGAACATTAAACACACATGGGCTTAATTAAAAGCCTAAAACGAAATAATTTTTTTTTCCAACCCTTGCCCCTAACGGAAACTCCATTCTGTTAACCAATTATGTTAGAAACAGACTTCCCTTTTTGGACAAATAAACAAGTGGAGTCAAAAGGAGATCCGAAGGAAGACCATTGGAACTGGAAGGCTGAGGTATCAGCGCAATGTGCCTCGCAGATTCAAGAGCTGTTTCAGAGAAGGTATTAATCAAATCATTTTTTGGGAGATTTTTATGGTCTTGCTCTGTTTGTTTTTTCTTCATTTGTTTTCTTTGGTTTGAGTTTTGTGCTTGAATTCGCTTTCATATTGGGAATTTTGTTTTGAATAGGCACCGAAGCTGCACTTAAGAATAAGGAAGCAGCCGCAACTGCTTAAGTCTTCTCAGCAGTCATTTTGATTGCAATTTGGGTACTCAACTACAGCTTTAGAAAGCGATTATGATTCTGCACAAATTCAATATGAAGCTATTTGTTTGTTTTTTTTTTTTTTTAACCTTAAATATTAGTTGCTTTTTTGTGTTGGATGAGACTAATGCCAGTTGCCCTTCATAATTACGTAATGTTTTGGTGATGTGCAATGTCTTTGAATTTATAATGAGTCAGCTAATATTTATTATTCCAATTTTTCTCTCTATTGTAAATTGTAATGCCTATTGTGCCCTTCAAATCTCCACAAGGCTGTAATTCAACATTTTTTTAGTATGGGAAGCTGCTCATTGAACTTATATATGCATATTTTGCAAGTGACCTTTTATCACAGTGGTGAAAAGGTGTTGTGCTCTTATATGACGGCGTGAGTTCGAACCTCATTGGTGGCTAATCTAACATTTAACTTTTTCACTCAAAAGAAAAAAAAAACACAAAAACTTATATATGCATATTTACATTATATCATGTTTTTCTCCTCAATGTCTACTAAATTAATGGCTTAAGTGGACTTCTTCAATGAAGGCAGCAATAGACTCTTCATTCTTTTCCTCCATGTCTGCCAAATCAATCTTATAGGTGCCAACATCCAGCAACATACATTAGGCTCCATGTGAATGTCTTTGTTCTTCGTCCAATTATATACCCCTTGAAGGCTACATTACAAAATTAGATATCCAATTATTTTACAGGATATTGATAGAATTGAACACTGATTATTTCTTGAACTAAATACGGGTATTATCACTATTTCGTAAACTTAACACTGACTATTTCTTAAACAAAAAACGGGCACTATCACTATTTTTCTTAAACTGAACACGGGCACTATCGCTATTTTTTAAACTAAACAAGGTTACTAACACTATTCCTTAAACTGAACACTTTTGCTAATACTATTTCTTAAACTTAACACTGACTATTTCTGAAATTAACACATTTATTATCACTATTTCATAAATTGAACACTGACTATTTCTTAAATTGAATACGGTTAATAACGTTATTTCTTAAACTTAACACTGACTATTTCTTAAATTAACATGGTTACTATCACTATTTCTTCTTAAACGTAACAATGACTATTTTTTAAACAGAAAACGAGCACTACCACTATTTCTTAAACTGAACACGGGCACTGTTGCTATTTTTTAAACTGAACATGGTTACTAACACTATTTCTTAAACTGAACTCTTTTACTAATACTATTTCTTAAACTTAACACTGACTATTTATTAAATTAACACGGTTACTATCACTATTTCATAAACTGAACACTGACTATTTCTTAAATTGAATGCGGTTACTAATGCTATTTTTTAAACTGAACACTGACTATTTCTTGAACAGAAAACGGGCACTATCACTATTTCTTAAACTGAACACGGGCGCTATCGCTAATTTTTAAACTGAACACGATTACTAACACTACTTCTTAAACTTAACACTTTTACTAATAGTATTTCTTAAACTTAACACTAACTATTTCGTAAATTAACACGGTTACTATCACTAGTTCATAAACTGAACATTTACTATTTCTTAAATTGAATACGGTTACTAACACTATTCCTTAAACTTAACAATGACTATTCCTTAAACTGACAAGAGTACAATCACTATTTTGTAAACTGAACACTGACTATTTCTTAAATTGAACATGGTTACTAACACTATTTCTTAAACTAACACGAGTATTATCACTATTTCTTAAACTTAACACTGACTATTTCTTAAACTGACACATGTACTATCACTATTTCCGTATTTCGTAAATTGAACACTGACTATTTCTTAAACTAAACATGGGTACTATCACTATTTCTTAGACTTAATACTAGTAATATCATTATTTCTTAAATTTAAGTCTGACTATTTCTTAAACTGGCACATGTATTAACATTATTTCTTAACTTAACATGGGTACTATTACTATTTCTTAAACTAAATATTGACTATTTCTTGAATTGAACACGGGTATTATCACTATTTCTCAAATACTTCTTACCTTTTTTTGTTTTTGCTAAAAAAATTATAATGAGAATCTCGACAACAATTTAATTGAAGTTAAAACACATCGTTGAATATGATAAATGTAAACTTTCTCACATTATAGAAAATGACAATTATAAATGTATCAGCAACAAAATTAACTAATTAATTATTTTCTCAGCAATGTGAGTTTGAATGTGTATAGAAAGAAAAAACCAAAGCTATTGCGCACCGTAATGAATTGGCTACATTGTGTGCATAACACATAAGAATGTAAAATGTGAAAGTTAAATCAAATAATAAATTGTAAGTAATAGATTACTCTAATGAATAAGACAATTTCTCTTAAACTCACTGAGTAGTTGGTTCAAACATTTCATTTCTTCTTTAGCGTAATTTGTTGTAAATTATAATGATGACAATTTATAATTAATCAAGTTCTTTAAGATGGTCGATTGATCTCCATTCGCTCTAAATGAAATGGGTTAAATCTCACTGTCCCAAATGGACATACATACGTAGATACACACCTAGCAGTAGTCAGTCCACACGCACACAAAACTACAAAAACAAATATTAATTCCTACCATAAACTCAATTTACAAATTTAGTTAGTAAGCTTAATGTAGAAACTCAGCAAGTGTAGGACTCAACAAGCTCGTCCATGGACCCCAACTGAGTCTCTGCATTCTTAAGCAGCAGAGTCAATGATTCCACATTAGAGTAATCTACTACTTGTGCAGCAGAGTCAATGATGATGATATATGTAATCACCATCATTATTAAGCATTGGTGATTTGGATAATAAAGGCAAATGTAATGGGCAATGTGGTATTGAAACATATTGAGACACATTTGGCAGCATCTTTCATTTCACTTTAGTGTAGAAAGACTGACTAGTCACCAAAGGCTCTCAGAGACTCCCAGAACTCTCCTTCTTTGCATGTTTTGTTGCAGAAGATAAAAGAAATTTAAAAAGTATGGGGATCAATCGTTTTCTTCGATCCAATCTCAGAAGCCAGGTATCCAATCTTAAATACCAAACACCCATTTGGTTTTTTTTGGATTACATCTTCCTGTATATATTTTCTGATTGACAAAGACAAAAGAACAACAGAATATTACAAGCAACTGCATCATATCGAATCAAAACTCTGTTTTAACTTCTTCCGACTTCTTAATGTCATCCCAAAAACCAAAATCGCACCCTTCATCTGAGGATTGGTAAGAGATTTGAACGAACATCCCGTATCTTAGCTAGGGGGCCAAAAAGAGAGTAGTTATTAGTAATTAACAAGAATTTCAGAATTGAAAATTAATTCTCCTCTCTTTGTTTCTTCGTCGGGACCTTCTTGCCCATTTCTCTGAGATCGTCGTCGACTATCAGCAGTTGGTTCCCTCTCGTCAGCTTTACATCCTCTTCTCCCTCTGATGATTCTGTTGCCATCTCCTCTTCTTCTATGCTTGATTTTTTGAACAGGAACAAGAAGAAAAAGAACCTAATTTGATCGAGTTCCTAAAGCCCAAAAATCCTTGGCTGGATACCAGAAAGCAATCAAATCAAAACTCAATTCTTCGACATAACCAAACTAATGGAAAACAAAACTAACATAACCCAAAAGGCAAAATAAATAAATCAGTATGTTATTTTCGTTGGGCCATTTTATTGAACTTGTTTAATATTGAGCTTTGTACTAACCATTAAATAAAGTTATAGAATGGTTTTTCATTAAAATTAAAATTTTCAACCATTTTTCATTAATTTTTTTTTTGTTTTTAACCAAATGGCATTATCGATGGAGAAGTAGACTAAGCTTCATATTTGATTAACAATAATATAGTTCAAATTAGTTTTTGACGAGGGTTAAACCTAATAGCTCTCTACTTACATTTGATGATGAATACTATTACACCATAATACGATAATTTTTAATTGAAACTTAAAAATACAAAAAAATAAAATAAAAAACATCAATCCCCTCTTATAGTAGCATCCCACCATCCGAGTCCTCTCCAGCTATATTGGGTAAGCTTTGCTCTTTTCGCTTCTCGTTCTTCCTCTCTAGTTTTCGCATATGTAGAAAACTGCTGCTGTATTTTGATTATTGCCATCTAAAATTCAAATTTCTAGCCGAATGTGCATTCGATTACCTGTTTTAGGGTTCCTGTTCTGTTCAATTTATTAATCGTTTCATCTATTTACACATCATGTTTAATTCCCACAATTTGTTTTCTGTGATGGGAATTAGGCAAACATCGGAAGCACCCAGAAGTTGAAAGAGTAATTAGAAATTAAAAAAATTTGGATTTTTTGGGTTTTTTTTTGGTATTGGAGTTATGGGGCAATGAACTGCTTTGCATTGATGAATTGGTGTGACAAAAGTAAACCACTTTTATTATTTTTGTACATAGTTGTAAAAGAGTTTGCAAATATTCGTAGCTGATCGATAAGTTGCATGATTTGTGAATATAAACACCCTGCAATTTGGCATGAAATTGTTAAAAAGTATGCAGATTTGCAAATTGGGTTAGTCTCGAAACTTTTGAATGTGCATTAGCGTTATCAGTTGATGCAGGAGCATCTGAGGGGCACTAGAAAGCTAAGTCGGCTGCCAGCCAGCTAGGCTAGGGTTCTAGTTAATTTGGGGATTCGAATTTTTATCATTTGGATTCTGTTTCTACTGTGATTTGGGCCTATTTGATCTGCTGGACAGAAGCTTATTTTACCCTGTTATTGCAGGAACATGGCGAAGCATCATCCTGACCTGATTATGTGCCGGAAGCAACCTGGAATAGCTATTGGAAGGTTGTGTGAAAAGTGCGACGGTAAGTGTGTAATTTGTGAATCTTATGTATGTCCTTGCACCCTTGTTCGGGTTTGCGATGAGTGCAACTATGGATCTTTCCAGGGAAGGTGTGTTATTTGTGGAGGGGTTGTAATTTCTGATGCTTGTTACTGCAAAGAGTGTACTCAGCAGGAGAAAGATAGAGATGGGTGCCTGAAAATTGTGAATCTGGGAATTGCCAAAACAGATCTGTTCTATGAACAGAAAACGTATGGTTTCAAGAAAAGATGATCATTAGCAGGTCATGTTTCGCTCAGCTTCGGGAAATCATTTTGTTTTGTTCATCATTGAGGCTTAGCCAATATTATAATCAGGTATTTTGCTTAGGAAACTTGCTTGTTACTGCTCGTATGTTTGACTGTTGTACTTTCTCGTTCAATATGTTTCCAACCTACTCTCATTCTGTGGCTAGTCTAGTTAAGGGATTAATGACTTCCATAATTCTCACTCGTAATCTTTGTATGTAGCATGCATCTATTCATGTCTGAACTCCCCGGTGTTCTTGGAGCTTTGTTAATCCAGTTTCATATGTGATTTAAGGTTCAGTAGATGAACTTTGGACGGTATCCAGGTGTCGCCACGTCATCCACTCCTGTCACTTTGGACAAACATTGCGGCTGTAATTTATTACGGTACAGTAGCAGGTGCGGAATCGTCGCTCCTGTCACTAACACAAAGACCACTGCCACCGGCTGCAAACTGCCCGCAGACAATAATGAGAATAAATTACGAATCATTAGTGGCAAAAACGTCATTTAATGAATCCATTGTCTTTGACATCGGTCATCAGCTGAAAGCCTGAAAACAGAGGGAGGTGTGGTTTGGACATTTCCAATTTGATAAACCACCATTTTCTTCTCTGATCAAAATCCGGTGGAAATGGACGGCGGTGGATCTTGCTCTGGCGGAAGTTTCAAGCTGTACGAGGGGCTGAAATTGCAGGAGTTTCAGGACAAGTGATCAAATCCGTTGCGGCTCTGGATCGAGGCTTCTCGATCGACTGCCGCAACGGCTCCATTAAGCCGCTTAATGGTATAAATTGTTCATCCCTTTTGATCGACCTTGATTTTTTTTGTTGCTAAATTTGTGTAGCTCAATCGATACTTGTTTCTGATTGCTAGGTGATTCTTCTTCTTCTTCTGCAAGTCCGTCGAAAACCTCGACAATATATGAAGTGGTGGGAACGATCACATTGCTTACAGGTAAGTCAATTGCTTGCTTTTACTCGCTTTGGAGTATTTCGAAACGAAAATGTGTAACTTTTTTTTGGTTATATTGTATAAATCTGTGGAATGAATGGCTGTATTTCCAGGAAATTGTGTTTGTTTGCTGAATTGATGTGTTTGGTGCAGGAAATTATGTTCTTGTACTAACTTTGCGGATGGAAGTTCGGACTTATCTTGGCTTCCCTGTTTATCGAGTGACCTCGATGAGGTTTCTGTCCTGCAACGTGGGTATGAAGAATTCAACTGCTCAGGAGGTAAGGGTTTTGATTTTTTTGATTCATTAGCGAGTTTGATTGTGGCTTGGGATGTTTTAAATTTGTGATGTGTTTGTGCAGAAAAAGGATGAGGCGTACTTCATGGCTCTGTTGAAAACAGTCCAATCAACTCTGGGGCTGTACTTCTCGTACAAGACTGATATAACACTAAAGTAAATTCTTATACCTAGCACTCAGCCTAAGTTTAATTTTTTTGTATCTGTTAGGGTGCCGTTTAAGTAAATTCTGCTGTTTTCATCGCTGTTGTGTGATTACTGTTCAAAATCTTATCATGTCAATTTATGTATCTGTTCAATAAAGTGTTGTGTTTGTTTATCTAATCATATATAATTGATCATTTCTACCAGCTTTCAAAGAAGATGTAAGTTAGTGGAAGGATGGATGGCCAAACCAATATGGAAGCAGGTTAGTTGGAAATTTGGAAAATTGGGTTTATCGGGACCTCATTAGTTCTTAAAAGTGATTCATGTTGCATATAAGCATATATTGTCCACGCGTTTAGTTTACTAGGCATCCTCAACCCTTTCCAAGTCAGAGGGTTAATAGGGAAAGAAAGGAAAACTGCCCTAAGGATTTGCCTACTTCTGTGTTTTTGTGCACCGTACTTATCTTTTGTTCTCGAGGTGAAAGTTTCAGCTAAATAAAGATGCCTTTTCAGTTCATATCCTTGAAGACATGCCATCCTTTGTGCAATGTTTTGGTTGTCAAGTGATTCTCCCTTCCCCTTTATCCAAAGGATATTTTGTCAGCACTAGAAGACGAGAAAGCATGAGTATCGAGTCAATTGACACACCATATCATATGGATGTTTATCAGTCTTTTCTCTTAATGCCATTTTAGCTCCTATCAAATGTTTACTTTACACATTACGATGTATGACTAGTAATTGCTTGGTAGTTTTTAATATTATTTGTGTTTTCAGGCTGACCCTCGATTTGTTTGGAACATAAATCTTTTGGACGAACTTATCGAGTATAAGGTTAGACTTTCCATCTTCGAGGTCATAATTAGTTAAACAATTTGAAGTATTTTCTCGCTTGCCACCACTTAATGTATATCTTTAAGGAAGAACAACATTTCCAAAAATTGTCAGTTCTTCGCGCACAAATTTTATTGCTAATGCTCATTAATTTTCTCATGGCAGCTTGATGGGTTCATTATTCCTCTAATACTAGGAAATATCCTGAATTTACTGATTTCTTATGTGTATATCCCTCTCTCTCCCTCTCTCTCTCTCTCTCTCTCTCCCTCTCTCTCTCCCTCTCTCTAAGATTGAGAGTCAGAGTTTAGGTGAGTAATATGTTATGGTGTTCCTTTACCTACATTTAAGCTTCCAGACTGCACAGCTAAAACTACGGGGCTTATCCCCCACACTTACGATGGTCTCAAGGAGGTGTACCCGGTGTCTAGGTACAATCTTATAGAGATGATTGATTCCTGTAATCACTTTTGTGTCTGTATCTGCATGTTTTGAAGGACTTAAACATGAAACACTGTAATGTGGTCGCGTAGAGACAAGAATGTGGAGAAGAGGAGCCAACCTTGATGGAGATGTTGCTAATTTTATTGAAACTGAGTTGCATCCGTTCATCCGAGTCCTCTCCAGCTATCTTCGGTAAGCTTTGCTCTTTTCGCTTCTCGTTCTTCCTCTTTAGTTTTCGCATATGTAGAAAACTGCTGCTGTATTTTGATTATTTCCATCTAAAATTCAAATTTCTAGCCGAATGCGCATTCGATTACCTGTTTTAGGGTTCCTGTTCTGTTCAATTTATTAATCGTTTCATCTATTTACACAGCATGTTTAATTCCCACAATTTGTTTTCTGTGATGGGAATTAGGCAAACATCGGAGGCACCCAGAAGTTGAAGGAGTAATTAGAAATTAAAAAATTTGGATTTATTGGGTTTTTTTGGTATTGGAGTTATGGGGCAATGAGCTGCTTTGCATTGACGAATTGGTGTGACAAAAGTAAACCACGTTTATTATTTTTGTGCATAGTTGTATAAGAGTTTGCAAATATTCGTAGCTGATCGATAAGTTGCATGATTTGTGAATATAAACACCCTGCAATTTGGCATGAAATTGTTAAAAAGTATGCAGATTTGCAAATTGGGTTAGTCTCGAAACTTTTGAATGTGCATTAGCATTATCAGTTGATGCAGGAGCATCTGAGGGGCACTCGAAAGCTAAGTCAGCTGCCAGTCAGCTAGGGTAGGGTTCTAGTTAATTTGGGGATTCGAGTTTTTATCATTTGGATTCTGTTTCTACTGTGGTTTGGGCCTATTTGATCCGATGGACAGGAGCTTATTTTACCCTGTTGTTGCAGGAACATGGCAAAGCATCATCCTGACTTGATTATGTGCCGGAAGCAACCTGGAATAGCTATCGGAAGGTTGTGTGAAAAGTGTGACGGTAAGTGTGTAATTTGTGACTCTTATGTGTGTCCTTGCACACTTGTTCGGGTTTGCGATGAGTGCAACTATGGATCTTTCCAGGGAAGGTGTGTTATTTGTGGAAGGGTTGGAATTTCTGATATTATTACTGCAAAGAGTGTACTCAGCAGGAGAAAGATAGAGATGGGTGGCCGAAAATTGTGAATCTGGGAAGTGCCAAAACAGATCTTTTCTATGAACGGAAAAAGTATGGTTTCAAGAAAAGATGATCATTAGCAGGTCCTGTTTCGCTTAGCTTCGGGAAATCATTTTGTTTTGTTCATCATTGAGGCTTAGCCAATATTACAATCAGGTATTTTTCTTAGGAAACTTGCTTGTTACTTTTTATGTTTCATTGTTGTACTTTCTCGTTCGATATATTTCCAACCTACTCTCATTCTGTGGCTAGTCTAGTTAAGGAATTAATGACTTCCATAATTCTCACTCGTAATCTTTGTATGTGGCATGCATCTATGGATGTTTGAACTCCTTGGTGTTCTTGGAACTTTATTAATCCAATTTCATATGTGATTTAAGATTTAATAGATGAACTTGACATTTCCATTTTATCTTCTGCTGAAATTGTGAAATGAATGTATGAATTGGGGTCTCCATGCTAAAGATTGCTCAGTAAGTCGACGCTATACTCTTTAAAATCTTTCAAAATCCAACGGCTAGCTGACGTCAGCTAACCGTTGGATTCAAATTTTTCTTTAAGCAATCCTGTCAGAAATAATTGACATGAATATATTTACATTAAATATATTCCTGTCGGTTATATTCGACAGGATTGGCTTGATTTTTTGGCCAGCCCTTTGACCCTTTGGCCCTTTTAGATTCCGTGGGGCCCACAAGCCCTCTGGCCTAGCTCTCGGTTGGAGATGGTTTTCGGGCTATTTTGGGCCCTCTGGACCCTTCGGTTGGAGATGGCCTCCCCATCCACCCACCCATAAAAACCCAAAAACGATGGCTTGGCTTCACACAATCCCTCCACTTGGCAGCCTCGAGACGTGTTGCTCTGTCATCCGGGCTGACCCAAACAAACCCCTCATCCGGGCAGCCCCAAACAAAACCTCGATGATATACGGAGTGGCGGGAACGATCAGATTGCTTACATGTAAGTCAATTGCTTGCTTTTACTCGCTTTGGAGTATTTCAAAATGAAAATGTGTAACTTTTTTCCGTTGTATTGTATAAATCTGTGGATTGAATGGCTATATTTCCAGGGAATGGTGTTTGGTGCAGGAAATTATGCTCTTGTAATAACTTCGCGGACGGAAGTTGAGACTTATCTCGGCTTCCCTGTTTATTGAGTGACCTCGATAAGGTTTCTGTCCTGCAACAAGTGTATGAAGAATTCAACTGCTCAGGAGGTAAGGGTTTTGATTCTTTTGATTCGTTAGCGAATTTCAGTGTGACTTGGGATGTTTTGAATTTGTGATGTGTTTGTGCAGAAAAAGGATGAGGCGTACTTCATGGCTCTGTTGAAAACAGTCCAATCAACTCCGGGGCTGTACTTCTCGTACGTGACTGATATATCACTTTCAAAGAAGATGTTTTGAATTCCGCTGTTTTCATAGCTGTTGTGAGATTACTGTTCAAAATCTTATCATGTCAATTTATGTATCTATAATTGATCATTTCTACCAGCTTTCACAGAAGATGTAAGTTAGTGGAAGGATGGATGGCCAAACCAATATGGAAGCAGGTTAGTTGGAAATTTGGAATATTGGGTATATTGGGACCTGATTAGTTCTTAAAAGTGGTTCATGTTATATACATCAGGTGCATATAAGCATATATATTGTCCAAGCGTTTAGTTTACTAGGCATCCTCAACTCTTTCCAAGTCAGAGGGTTAATAGGGAAAGAAAGGAAAACCGCCCGAAGGATTTGCTTACTTCTGTGTTTTTGTGCACTATACTTATCTTTTGTTCTCAAGGTGAAAGTTTCAGCTCAATAAAGATGCCTTTTCAGTTCATATCCTTGAAGACATGCCATCCTTTGTGCAATTTTTTGGTTGTCAAGAGATTCTCCCTTCCCCTTTATCCAAAGGATTTTTTTGCCAGCACTAGAAGACGAGAAAGCATGAGTAT